TTAGGGCCTGAACTTCAGGTTACTTGTCATGCAAATAGCTTGCTTGCAGGGAACGTTTGGAATTTTTAAGGACATTATTTTTAGTTTTTAATTCTTTTAGGAAATAGACTTGCCTAGATTTAATCTTTACGCCCCAAATATAATTTACATCGGAATTGTATGACAATGTCAATGACTTTATAAAAGTAAAAGCATATTGTGTATTGGCCTATTGGGTTTACACTTTTAAAGGTTCATTTAACTTTAACTCTCTCAAGTCTCAACAGACAACCGGACATGCCAAATCCATTGATATGACAACTTCAAAAACTTTTTTTTGAAGCTAGAAATCATGAGTTTTTTCAAACTTTTCCAGGGATACTTTGTTTTCTGCTCTATAGACTCCCCCTCGCGTCTCTAGTGCTCCACCCCTACAATATAGACCTTACTGGGGTTTGGTGACACTTTGTGTTGCTTCAGTCACCTGCTCACGGCTCACCCCCCTAAAATTTCTGGCACCACCCCAGTAAAAAATATGAAAATCCGTCTATGCTATAAACTTTCAATTTCTTGATGGCATTTATATTGCAGTAATGGTTTTGTTTCAAATCATACACGTGCAGCACACAAAGTACACCCATATTGTTCCGCTGACATTACGTATTGGGGGCACATGTCACCAATGTTTCACGATTTTTATTTAAATATAAAATGATAATTTTTATAAATTTGTACATTATAAAAATATGGCGACAAACAAAAAGCGAAAGGAATTGAGCGGTTATGAGAAAAGAAAAAAATAAGAGACTGCGAGAATTGAACATATCTACTATGAACTTTCAACCATGGGCAAACCACTTTATCTGACTTTTTTCACCGCAATACAAATTAGTCATTCGTCAGAGGTGAAAGTGCATCGACATGCTCAGCTCCCGCTGTGTTGGAAACAAAAGATGATGGATCTAAAAATACAGCTGCTGACGACGATGAAAATAGCATTAATTTCTCTATTGTCTATGACCTGGCATCAGGTGAGGAAACGTCCGAAACGCCCAGCGATGAACGGAACGAAGTTGAAGGTTGGTACAAAAACAAAAAAATAAATCTCAATTGGCTGCTTCAAAAAGCAGAAGAAATTCCCAACCTGACACAGAACTTTTTAAGGATAGAAATGTATCTGTATCTGTATCTGTATGAGAACATTTTATGGGAATCAAGTGGATGTTTGTAAATTACTTCTGTTTGGTCACTTTAGTGGAGAGTTCGAGAGTGCCAGAGTGGAATTGGAACTGGAACATTTTCAACACTGCATTTCATTTACAATCATTTCAGCCGTATTTTTTGTATTTTTAGTCAGATAAATTGCATCTGTTAGTGCGGCGAACTCAGAACTGGGGTTTGTCACCCATGCCCTTGATGGCATGATACCCCAGTGACCAGTACGCCAGTACCGGAGTTAGCGGAGTACCCCTCTGTAGTGTAGAAACTAGAAATAATAAATATGTGCTGAATGTGATACTGTTATACTCAATAAGTTCAGGAAGCGTTTCAACACGATTACTACACAAATATTCAATACTCAGAGCTGGACCGGCAGGGGGCGGGACGCGGGGGCCCTACCGTAAATTTTGGCCCACCACTTTAAATTCCTTAAAATATGCCTTGCCAAGCAGTGTTACAATAGGTAAGGTATGGGTAGATTAACGTGTAGTACAATGTCAATTTAGTACTAGCTAACAAGTAAAAACGAGCTCGATAAATTATGACGATAGACTTAGAAATCTTTTTACAGACATGACTAATGTGAGGTTTCCAGGTGAGATTCTCATCCAGAAAAAACCCCAGAAACTTAACCTTTGGTTTACGAGTAATACATTTGTCATCGAAAGAGAGAGATATATCATAAGAGACTTTCTTATGCCTGGAATAGAAAATAACATAGTCTGTTTTGTCAATATTAACAGAGAGTTTATTCGCTCTCATCCAAGAACCGATGCTTTGTAATGCTTCGTTTAACACTGCAGCTAGTACCACAGGGTCAGAGTGAGAGTAACAGATGCTGGTATCATCCGCAAATAGCAAAGGTTCAACTATACGGGGAGGCATTCGGAAGGTCATTTATATATAAAATAAAAAGGAGAGGGCCTAAAATTGAACCTTGAGGCACACCACATTGGGTAATTAACTGACTAGAAGTAACGTTGTTGTGCTGAACAAATTGTTTACGGTTGTGAAAATAACTTTTGATCCAATTTAGCGCGACTCCGCGTATGCCATAGTTTTCGAGCTTGGAAAAAAGTATACCGTGATTTAGTGTGTCAAACGCTTTCGACAAGTCTAGAAATACACCAATAGAAATTTTGTTTTGATCGATTCCAGTTGCTATTTTATTTACTAAATGTGTGAGGGCATGATTAGTTGAATGTTTGGTACGAAAACCAAACTGAAAAGAATACAAAATTTCAAATCTTTCTATAAAATTAAGCAAACGATTACACATAACCTTTTCATAAATTTTAGAGAAACTTGACAAGATCGAGATAGGTCTGTAGTTCGTAAATATATCTACATCACCAGCTTTAAAAAGAGGAATTACTTTTGCCGTTTTAAGGTTATTTGGAAATATCCCTTTTTCAAGGGATATATTAATTACACGCATTAATGGTTTCGAAATAATATCAAACGAACTTTTTACAAGATGCATAGGTATATGATCATAACCAGGTGCTTTTCCACCTTTAAATGACATAGAGATAATTTTTAGCTCATGTTCAGTAGTAGGTTTAAGGAATATTGTATCACTCAAATTTGGTCCAAGGAAATCTCGAAATACACAATTTGTTGGGAGAATCCTGCTTGCCAAGGATGAGCCAATGTTTGTAAAATATTTACAAAATCCATTTGCAATTTCAAGAGGGTCAGTGATCACTATACCATTTGATTTAAATGACGATGGTAAAGATGACTTCTTGCTTTTAGTATTTATAACCTCATTTATTAATTTCCAAGTTTCCTTCAAGTCACTTTTTGCTCGATCAAATTTGTTATCATAATAACTTTTCTTAGCATTTCTAATTAGATGATTTAATTTGTTTTTATACCTTTTGTAATGAAGCTCACGTTGTAAAGTTGGATTACCCAAGTATTTCTTATAGAGTTTATTCTTTTTTCTAACGGAAACCAATAAACCTTTAGTAATCCAGGGCGTTTTCGGCTTTCTGGAAGAGTGTTTACTTATTTTTAAGGGAAAGCAATCCTCAAAATGTTTATTGTATTCTGCCGAGAACGAGTCAAATAGTTTATTAGGATCTTGACCCACAACAACACTGGTCCAATCCACTAGAGACAAACTAGTTCGAAATTTGATTAGATTTTGTTCGCTATAGTCTCTATAGGATTTAACTTCTTTTTTATGTGGTACTAATTCAGAACTAAAAAAAGCAAATATAGGTAAATGATCCGACATATCATTAAGAATAATTCCATTCACCGTGTTTTGTGCCTTCACATGAATATATTATCAATCAGTGTAGCCGAGTGTGAAGTTAATCGCGTAGGTTTATTTATAAGAGGAATAAACATGTAGGAGAACAAAGAATCCATGAATTCTTGAGTGAAAGCATGCTGATCATAATGGAATAAATCCAAATTGAAATCGCCCATAATACAGGGTGTATAAAAAAAAGCGCAACATCGGAATTTCCCAAGAAATCGACATTGTTTTAAAGACAAAAGATTTTAGGCGCCTGGGAATTTAAAATAGCATAACTGTCAAAATTACTGCACACGCGAGTGCATAAAGCAAAATTTATGCATTTATTTAATGCACAACAACAGTAATATGATCTATTAGCAATTCGATTTCAATTCCCAGGGGCCTAAAATCTTTTATGCTTAAGAATTGCAAAGTGATTTCTTAGGAAATTCCGAGGTTGCGTTCTTATTGATACACCCTGTACAGTATAGCATTGTTTGTTATCTTTGGAAATAAAGGAAAGAATTTTGTTGAATTCCTCCATAAAGTGAGTTAAATTTTGATTAGGCGAACGGTATACAGGGTGTCTCAAAAAAACCGCTACCCTTAGAAATTCACCATTGTTCTAATTTGAATGCCTGAACCTTGTTGAAGCCATGAATGCGTAAACATTTTCACAGGATGCATATATTATAGATCTTCGGAATTAAAATATCCTTGAAAAGCGAATTTTTTTATCCTGGGAATTGAAAGTAGGTTCATACAAAAGTATAACTGCACGAAAATCGTTCAATTACATATTAGTGAATGTCAAGCAAATGGCTCAACTGAGCACAGAGCAAAGAGTATTTATTATCTTATTGTCCATTCAAATTGTTCATGCACCCATGAGTTCAAGATAGAACTCAGGCATTCAAATTAGAACAATGGTGAATTTCCAAGGGTAGCGGTTTTTTTGAGACACCCTGTACAGGGTGTCTCAAAAAAACCCAAAATCATTGAAATAACGTATTGTTCGAATTTCAATGCCGTAACACAAAGGATTTTGACAGGGTGATTAATTTGTTTTAAAAAATTAAAATATCTTTGTAAAGTGAACGTTTGTTTGCTCATGGGAATTTAAAAATGCTTCGTAAATTGTAATATGCGTAATATGCATTCGTGGGTTTAGTACTTTATGCCTGACATAACAAGTTTACGCTGAGTATTACCATTCATTATAGCAGTTATGTCAATCTTTTATGCACTCGTGGGATTAACTTAGTGCTAGGGCATTGAATATCGAACAATACGTCAATTTCAATGATTTTGGGTTTTTTTGAGACACCCTGTATAGTACCGACAATAATGTTTTTCCCATTAGGGTTAGCAATTTCAAGGAACAAAGACTCAATTACTTCAGGATTAGAAATTGTGCATTCTTGAATCAATTTGTATTGAAAATGATTTTGTAGATAAAGTCCAACTCCGCCACCGACTTTACTCAGGCGATGATTTGAAATGAAATTATAACCTGAAAAATTTACTAAATCAGAAGTTTTATCATTCAGCCAAGTTTCAGACTCAACTTATCAAAATTGCCAATAAGGCTACGACAATTTAGGTGCAACAATGAAAAACCCATATCATCCATTGACTCGTCGATTAATTCGCTAATATCATTTTCAACCATATACCTACTAGTCGGTGGCAACAGAGCTTGAACATTTAAATCTGGGTCAACATTTGACATTGTAAGGCAGTCCATGGCCAAAGCTGAATGTTCAATAGGATTAAATACTAGACATTCTAAGCGATCTAAATCAAAGTGCAATGGGCCATGAGATAATTCGTATATGGCCGCATTAAAAGCCATAGGCGTACCGGGCGGGGGGGGGGGGGGGCGGCCCCCCCCCAGTTTTTTGGGCAGTCGGGCAATATTCGATTAACAGTCGGGCAATTTTGGTTTGTTATAAAAATAAATCGGACAAATTCTGTCAATTTTTTCGAAAAGTTAGTCAATTTTGTGGCAAATGTAGTGTATTTTTGAAAATTTATGTGATGTTCCGAAAAATTTTGGTATGTCCGGAAAATTTTTTTGACCCCTTAAATGGTACACTGACCGAATTTTTTTTGGCGACGGGGGGGTGGAGGGGGGGGTACTAGTTTTGGTACTACACTGTAAAAACTGATTGGTCGAAATGACCAAAAAAAATTGGTCACCTGGATGCATCTGAGAGAACCAATTAAAAATGGTCGTTTTAACCAATAAAATTAACCATTAATTAATTGGTCATTTCAACCAATAATAATTGGTTAATATAACCAAATATTTTTGGTTGTTTTGACCAATTAATAAAATGGTTAATTTTATTGGTTAAAACAACCATTTTTAATTGGTTCTCTCAGATGCATCCAGGTGACCAATTTTTTTTGGTCATTTCGACCAATTTTTTTGGTCATTTCGACCAATTTAATGTCACAACCTATACACTGCATTAAAATGAAGAAAATTTGTGAGTCTTACATCACTGAACATGTATACATGGAATTTAATAAAAAATCTATCAATACAATATAATAAGACAATTAAATAAACTAGAGCTATACCGGTACCTTAGAACTATGTGAGAGCAATTGCAAAGGAATACAATTACAACTGCTGTGCTGAGTGGTTATATTACTACCTGGAAAAAAAAACAAGCAGAAACTCAACATTTCGAGCGAAGGGTCTTTGCTCAAAACGTTGAGTTTCTGGTGTGTTTTTTTTCAGGTAGTAATATAATCACTCAGCACAGCAATTTCACATTGGTACTATCCACACTGGTACTGGTACAGACAGTTTTAATACAATTACAAGCCTGCCAGCATGAATTGAACCTGCAGCCCTGCAATTCTACTGCAGCCCTCTGACTTAAAGAGTCCTTTTGCCAAGATGTAACCATAACTTTCTGTATAATTATACCATGATGGTGGTGTCACTGGTAGTATATTAAATAAACTGGGATGACACTAGTATTGTATAAATGAACTCTTGGTTAGCTTGATGGATTCTTGGCGCTTGGACTCTCAGGGCTTGATGGACTCTCGGCTGTTAAGCAATTGTTCAGAATCACAGGGCAACAGGTATGGTGTCCCATGTCCGCCAAAAATCAACTTTTGCATTTCACTATATGATATTTTGAGGATCATATTCATTTCATTAAAATAACAACATTGTTTTTGAAGATCACCGGTTTATCGGTTGAAAACACAACTTATTTTTTGAAGACCAACTTTTGAAGACCAACTTTTGAAGACCAACTTTTGAAGACCAACTTTTGAAGACCAACTTTTGAAGACCAACTTTTGAAGACCAACTTTTGAAGACCAACTTTTGAAGACCAACTTTTGAAGACCAACTTTTGAAGACCAACTTTTGAAGACCAACTTTTGATACCCAACCGCAATCCAATGTCTTTGTTGTTCGCGGGCTCATATTGTGATTTTCCGCTAAAATCATCTCTGTCTGAGTAACTAAACTTTTTATATATTCATTGTCTTATTTTCCTTATCCATTTTGTGCAGGCCGATGTAAATTCAAGAATATGAATTATTCATATACTGTACAATGTACATGACATGTATTAATAGTTAATTATGATTCAAAAATCATTAATAATTCAGGAGGAAAACACAGAGAAAAATCATAAGCGTGTCGTGGTTTTATATGTCATAAAAAATCATGTTAATTTACATAAACTTTAGCTTTGATTTTCTCGGTTTAGATAAAGTTTATTTTAAAAATTACTTTGCCAATGAACTCAACTCGTATAAGATGAATCGTTTTTGAAGCCATTTAAAGCACTTGTAGTCGTGTTTTATCACATATAAATCACTCCGCTACGCGTCGTGTTTTATATGTCATAAAACACTCCTACGCGTGCTTTAAATAGTACTTTATGACTTGGTGTTGGCGGCTCGTATAATATTTTACTTGTGATCAGGTTAGATTGCAGAATACCCCTCCATTTTCTAACATTACATGCAATTTTAGTTGCGATTTTCTCCTTTTGTAAGATGTGAAGGAGTAGATTACATAAACATTTATAACTTTAATATCCACTCCTTCACATCCTCCAAAAGGAGAACATATTTCGAGCAGTGGCAGCAGACATCAACTTTTAGGGGGGGGCAGGGGGAAAGCTTGTGCAGGTTTTTAATGTCCTGTGTACCATTTGGACTCATAAACAGTGCCGTAGCAAGCTCGATAATAGGGAGCTTTAGATTTGACTACGAATACGACTACGAGTACGAGATTCGTCAAGCTAAACGTATGCTGTATGCTTACGCCATCCCGTACTGACGCGAAAAAGTCGTAGCCGTCGCCCATCTGAGTACGAAATTGTGGAGAAACCTCGTAGTCCTCACGACGACTTTTCAAAAAAACAAAGAAAGTTGGCTTTTTTTTGTTTTCCAAAAATAATTTGTAGCATTTATATAGCGTTTATCCGGCGCAAATAATATATTAGTACTAAATATCTGGCCTGTTTTTAATGTTATGATTTGTTTACACGTTTTGTAGGGGATTTTAGTCTGCAGGAGATTTAGTTTATGAAACTTTTTCTCTCCGTTGTTGGTTTACTGTTATAAAAGCAACATTTGAATGGAAACGAAAACGACTATGTAATTTCCTCGCACGCGATCAAATCTCGTACTCGTAGTCGTACTCGTAGTCAAATCTAAAGTTCCCTAATTGGGGGGGGGCTGATATTCATATATTCATGTTCTGTGTTATTATTTCTTTAGAAATCAATTGTTTTTATGGTCTGTGAACACAAATATATGAATATCAGCCCCCCCCTCCCCAATTATCGAGCTTGCTACGGCGCTGCTAAAACCTGACTGTGTGTAATATATTAGGATATCTATGTTCTAGGACAATACATTATCCTGTTTTTCTCTGTTTACCAATGGGTCATTCCAGAAAACATCCATACCACCCTCACGGAGGAAATTAGAAGTTAACTCCCCTACCCCCTTCGGATATCCTATTGTCTGCATTGGTATTCCATTTGTTCCATATTGAAAAGAATGTTATATGCCTCTCCAACGTTTGCACATATCGAATAATCAAGATTCATATTTACTAGCAACCGTTGTAAAAAATCAAGTTTCAGCATAAGCTCTTGTGTAGTCTACATTAGCGTCTCGAGACTGTGAAAAACGGTCGATGGAATTTATCACATCAAAAATCGCCTGTAGCAAGTATTGTTTGTCTTCTTCCTCCATTTTGAAAACATAATAAATGAGCCCGCGAACAACAAAGACATTGGATTGCGGTTGGGTATCAAAAGTTGGTCTTCAAAAGTTGGTCTTCAAAAGTTGGTCTTCAAAAAATAAGTTGTGTTTTCAACCAATAAACCGGTGATCTTCAAAAACAATGTTGTTATTTTAATGAAATGAATATGATCCTCAAAATATCATATAGTGAAATGCAAAAGTTGATTTTTGGCGGACATGGGACACCATAAACAGGTTCCATTCCCGGCACAGTACTTATTACATAGTTATTGTTCAAAATTTCCATCTACAGAAATTTGGCTTTAACCCATTGAGTGGCAACACTCTCTCCTTCATGAGTAAAATTGTCTGGCATTAGACAGAAAAAATAATAAGGTAGAGCCCATTGCCACATAAAAGGTTAACATTCTCTTCAATGTAGAATATTTACAAGTTAGTATAATATACCTGTACTGCATGTAATGTTGTCACTGCTCAATCAAGCATGTCATACAAGTCCATTAGTTAAAATTTAAAAGTACAAGCTTCATACCACAAGTCAGCAACTCCATTCCTTGTCAGGTTTGTTAATCCATAAACATATACTCTCCAGCAAAAGAATAACATTTTCCAAATAGACTATGCAGTACTTAAAATGCCATTAATGATTATATATAAATTGCCACTTGTTTAGACAACTTGCCTTCTGCTGGGAAACTTTTATTAATAACTTTTCATTCAGGATCAGGATATATAATGAATCCATATTAAATACAATCTCTATTAAGAAAAAAATACATATAAAGGTTGATATATAATGGTAGCAAATTATTGATTGATTGACAATGAATTTCCTATTTTTGGTTAGTGTACAAAGCAAGAAATACAAAATTCAAATGCTTTCAGTTGACATGTTTAATGTAAGGCTAGCATGCAATTGAAGTAACACCTGCATCCAATACAACTATTCTCACTGGTAAAAGACTGTTTAAAATACTGGTGCATAACAACTGTTTTTTCCCAAATTCCTAATTGAAAAATATCATTCTATATAATCCAGCAAGGTAGTTTTAATGGCTGTTTATATGAGGTGATGGCACCTGTGTACCTGAGCTGGCCCAGTTTTGGTGAGATCCAGACTTTGTTATTATATTCTATATATTTCACCTTGTGTTTTACTTTGTAATATAGAACTGAGCTGGACTTTTTTAGGAAGATTGGGGGCTTCGGTGGCAAAGCTGTTATATGCACTTGCCGTTCACCTCTAAGGCTGCAGGTTCAAGCCTCAGTGAGAACTTTCTCAATGCGACTCAAACCCAGTCCTCATGTGAAGAGTAAAAGTCAACACTCTATCGAAAGTCATGGGTTTTCTCCAGGTACCCGGCTTCCTCCTACAGGGAAAGTTGACAGGGTGGGTGATGTAAAAGAGCCAACAGTAATTGGCACATGCTGTTGTGGTGACACCTAGTTGGCTAAGCTAAATAAATAAACTTAAGATACTGCCACAATTGACCCAAAATGTTGCTAATGCCAAACTAAGATTTTCCATATAAACTATATACAATGACCCGGGATTTGGCACAGTATTCATGCTTTGTTTAGGCATAATGTAATCTTCTAAATGACATTTCCCAATCAATTTGAATATTAACCCATTAAGCTGTAGAGTTGGAGTTTCCCCATTGACGAGTAAAATCATTTGGCCAGAGGTGTAACTTAACACTTGCCTGGGGCAAGTGAATATCATGATGGGCAAGTAAACACTTTATCTTGCTGCCCGATTGGGCAAGTTGCCTTGACACTATTCATTGTCAGATATATTTTGTTTTATAGTGCATGGACTTGGTTCAAATTTCGTTTTTTGTGCACCAAAGCTATATCTGAGGCAGTATAACATAGCCATATAGCGCAGTGGGAGAACAGGTTGACATGTTGTCCCCTTAATTTATACCCCCTACCTAGGTACCCCAAGCAGCCATTGTCTGATGGCAAGTGAATTTTATTCAGTGCAACTAATCTTTATGACCAACTTGCCCTGAGGGCAAGTGGTCAAAAAAGTAAAGTTACACCACTGCTGGTGGTAGACAAGTAAATAAAATAAGTAGGTCGCACTAGGGCACATTGCGGCTCAATGGGTTAACTAGAGACATTGTCAGATTTTTTGGTTAACCCATTAAGCTGCAGAGCTTCCCTACTGAGGAGTAAAAGCGTCTGGCGTTAAGCAAGCAAAAAAAAATAAGTAGGGCATACTGGGGCGCATTGTGGCTCAATGGATTAAAAGATCTCTGTGATTTTTTTTTTGTAAGTTACATTTCAAAACTGTCTGCAATAGTATGTCAATTTATTTTATTGGAAATTATACAACTCAGTCTGGGTGATTTGTTTTGGCAAGCATGTTCATCTAAAGAGGCTCATGTAAACAGACATTCCTCCAGTGAAAGCGGGCTATAACCAGGTTAGTTACCTGGACTGGCTTGCCTTTTATATATAAGCGGCCCCTTGCACATGTTTTAGGCTGACTGGCTGACTGATAGAGCCAGAGGCCGCGGAAGCATTTCGAAAGTGGAGGGGCATTGACCGAAAGGGGCACTTTTGTATATGACCAGAATCAAACGATTTTATGATGTTCACGAGCCGAACGAAAATTTTTGAAAATATGGAGTCTCTCTAACGTCGGAAATGGCCTTTACAGAGTCTTTACTACTGCGAAAAGGGCATTTTCTTTCCAGAAAAAGAGGGCGTTTATTCAAGAAATACTTTTTCGTTTTTTAAATGGGGCATTTTAGCCCAGAAAAAAGGGCACTTTTTTCACTTTTAAGAAAAGTGGGGGGGCACATGCCCCCATTGCCCCCCCGGTTCCGCGGCCCCTGGATAGAGCCATACATTGGGAAAGGCTGTCTACATGCTATTAATGTGAATATATACTAAAACTGTCTTTACCAGTGTGGGTAGTACCAATGTAAAAATACTACCTTAAAAAACAACTCGAGTCGACGTTTCGAAATTTATGAAGGCCCTTCGTCAATAGTGTAATTATGCATATTTCAAACAAATCACATTATTATAAAAGTATTATGTCAAGTGTCAACATAGCAAATACTTAACAGAACAACACATATGTATATCACAGAAATAAGCCGTATACGATTTTCTTAACAATACAGATAAGTAGAGACTGTTATGTAAATCGAAATTTACAACTGAACGTTTAGATGCCTTCGTAAAATCGGCACAAAGCGACTATAAAATACAGGCCTTCGATTTAAAAATATAACTACACAGTCTGTCAAGTAACTATCCGCATACAAATAAGTAAATACACAAGAGACATACCTTTGAAAACAATCTCCTTGTGTTCTATTAAGTCTTTCGATCTTTATAAGCAGAAAATTTGAATATAAATCTTTCCTGTTTGAATGTTTGCTCCCAAAAGATCGAACTTAGCGCGCTGGTGTGAAAAGATTGAATTACTACAACACGTGATATATTCTAAGCATGGTAATTGGTTGAAACTTTGGAACTTCCACTTGGCGCAAATTATATTCAGCAGAATTCAGCAGCAGGACATTCCACAAGTTCAAATTACAGATTTACGCAGCAAATCAAAAATAAACAACTGATATACTGAGAGCAATGACAGTAAATTAATTTGTCGAGAAAAACTCGATCGTCGCGCGCGATTGAACAATAAGAAGCCGATACTGGTAATATTAAAAGCAATCTGACTTGGCAACATTTACGAAAAAGCGCGTCAACCAGCTAGATCTTGTGTCTTTGTCGGATGATTTTACACGAACTGCAGGCTTTCACTATACGAATTTGTATAGCAAATATCGCCCTAATTCAAGGTTGAAGAAGCTTCAATATAGTTTCGGCCATTCCCATGGATTCCTATGTGCAATGGTCGAGTTATATTACACAGGCCGAGTAAAAACTAGGCGGAATATTACTCGATATTTTTACTCCTACGTACTATACGATTAATTGTGAAGTAAAAAATATGAAGTAAAATTTACACTCAACTAAATGACCAATAAAAAGTTGGTTATAATAACTTATATAAATTGGTCGAAAGATGACCAATTTTTTCGACCAATTTGTAATAGTCAAAGGAACCAAATTTAATTGGTCAAATGCGGCTAACTAATTAAACAATTGGTCAAAATGACCAATTGCCAATGGTTGCAACCTAAAAAATTGGTCATTTTAACCAATCAGTTTTTACAGTGTAGTCGGGCACAATCACGAAAAGTCGGACAATTTTACGAAAAGTCGGGCAATTTTCTTTCCGCTCCCCTAATTTTTTCCTTCCGGTACGCCCATGTTAAAAGCTACATCATCTAGATGGCTAAATGGTAGAGGAAAAGCCTCCATAGATGAGATATTATTAGCCATTAATTAATATTACAAAACAACAAAGAAAACACACAAACTTATTATCCTAATTTAACATAGTAAGGTCCTGTAGTTTGGTTAGCTTGATAATCTGTTCGTTTTCGGACTTTCGTAAGCAAACGATTTTATTCTTGACCCAGCAGAACTTAAAATTATTTGCCCGCTTATACTTGTTGGCTTCAAACAGCAGCTCTTGCAGGCGTGGGGTTAAATGTTGGTAGATCTGAAGGCTGTCTAATTTCGTGGTCGATGGTAGATGAAGTTGCTCAGGCTGAACATTACTAGTTTGTTTTCTGGCTGCAATTACTTTTTCTTTCGCCAAACGGCGTACAAACTTACAGATAATTGCGTTCGATCGGTTAGATTGCCTTCTTGCAGGAACACGATGGGCAATGTCCACATGGCGTAGATCGAGACATCTGCCCCTATGGCAGTAAATAATTTCAGGCACATACTCGTAGTTTCTTCGGCCGATTCATTCGAGTTTTGTTGAGGCATACCAGTAATTTTAATATTGTATTGGTAACTATAATCTTCGATTTGCTCAACGGCGTTTGCAATGACCTCGCATTTCTTTGAAATAATATTACTGTAACTTGTTGATTTATATGTTTTAATTCCTTCATTGTATTATTTTTAAACAAAATAAGATCGTCATTTTGAGCACTAATAAACTCTAAGGACTTATCTTTATCTGTTGACTTGGTTGACTGGGAAGCATGTCTGCCATCTTGTTCAATCAGGCTTTCGTTCTTTTTCGAAATATCCGCGGTTATTTGCTTCAAATTTCCTTGAAGTTCTTCAATTTCCTCTCGTAGCTGTTGGTTTTCTTTACGGAGTTTAGCAGTCGCCATTTCAGAACGAATAGTTCGAAAATATCTCGAAAACTTTCAAATTTCAAGGAGCGGCTCAAGATACGTCCTGTCTCGCTCACTGCTCGCACAATTGAAAAACAAAGAAAGTATTCAAGTAACTATTGTTAATTCCAGCTTTTTTCACATGTCTTATTGATATTTCACATGATTCATGCATAACAAACGACGAATATCTCAGCTTTGAAGCAGGTGACGCCATGGTTATCCCCTTCAATGTAGTTATACAGATCCTCTCCATACCATACTCTCATTTGGTGTCCGGAATACATATACCTGGGGCCAATGTCTGAAAAGGCAAGTTGGTGTGAATTCGCGAAGTAGCCAGGGATATGATATCATTCACCATGACAACGTTCTTCACATCTGTAACGTACATGTCGGCACGGTGATGATCAGTACATCCCCAATTTGTCCTTCCATTAGCATGACATCCAGTTTTTCCACGTACATGCGTCAGCCTGAAAGAAGACACAAAACCAGACCTACCACGGTATGTAAGCAGTGCGGGGTGATTCCCCCTAGCAGAAGTACAGCCTTGACCAAGGTTTACCCATCCTCCTAAAAGTCAATGGTATATTTAGTTAAGCAAGAAATCGACGAATTTTGGGAAAATTCGAATTTCGAATACCGTTATTAAATGTTTTGCACTGCGGCCGCAGCGTTTATTCGAGGAGTAGGGATAAAACGCTGAAACTGAATCGCGGAAACGGAAACTGCAAGTGGAAACTGAAATGGGGATAAAACGCTGAAATGGGGATAAAACGCTGAAATGGGGATAAAACGCTGAAATGGGGATAAAACGCTGAAATGGGGATAAAACGCTGAAATGGGGATAAAATAATTTAAAATAAAAAGGTCGCCAAAATAATTTTTCCGGGAAAAATCTTTCGGTACTAGTCGGGCACAATCCCGAAAAGTCGGGCAATTTTCTTTCCGCCCCCCTAAATTTTTCCTTCCGGTACGCCCATGTGAACTTGTAGTTGCAATGTTGATAAAAACAGGTTGCAACAATATTGTGCTACACCTATTGTTCACGAACATTAACAATATTGTTCATTGTTGCACCCCATTCAAGATGAATAATATTGTTCAATGTTGTTCACTGTAAAAATAGGTCAGCATAACATTCTTGTAACCTGTTGTACAGCACAGCACAGCACAGCACAGCACAGCACAGCACAGCACAGCACAGCACAGCACAGCACAGCACAGCACAGCACAGCACAGCACAGTACAGTACAGTACAGGCAGTATACAGCAGGCTCAGCGTTTTTGGCCGTAGGCCGTGTAGAACCCACACTTCTCTATGACAGGAAACAACGCCCAAAGATGGAAATGGAGAGAATTGTAGATTAAATTATTAATAAAAGATAAACTGTCAGATAAAATTCGTTCTTCGAAAATTTGTGGTTGTCATTTTACCGGAAACTTCTTTCTTATATTTATTCAGTTTTATAGGCAAATTTCATGTGTTCGCCATTGTCTAGCAAACAACGAATTCGATTAAATTTGCCCATTTCAGCGTTTTACCCCCATTTCAGCGTTTTACCCCCATTTCAGCGTTTTATCCCCATTTCAGTATTTTACTCCCATTTCAGCGTTTTATCCCCATTTCAGCGTTTTATCCCCATTTCAGCGTTTTATCCCCATTTCAGCGTTTTATCCCCATTTCAGCGTTTTATCCCCATTTCAGCGTTTTATCCCCATTTCAGCGTTTTATCCCCATTTCAGCGTTTTATCCCCATTTCAGTTCCGCGATTCAGTTTCAGCGTTTTATCCCTACCCTTATTCGGGTGTGGCGTTTATTCGAGGGCGGCGAAACCTTTAAGAGGCAATTTTTTTCAATGTCACACAGATAAAGCACTAAACAAACCTTTTAAGTTTGTTTGCCGATTGAGAAACGTATTAAAAAATAAAAATTTTGAATTTAGTCGTAACCTCAAGTGGTATATTATACGCATTAGTTTTGAGCGCGTGTTATATAACATACAAAAAAAATGTCCTCTTAAACTCAACATTAATTTAACCAAATTTAATACTGAAACTCCTAAAACCAAAATCAACATAATTAATGGCTCTTTCGAAATGTGAGGGCGGCGTTTAATCGAGTAAATACAGTAGTGCATTTTATATTACGGGAACGATGTAACACATCCTATGCCGAAAATTTTTGGGCCTGGAGACATCGCAGATTAATTTGCTCATGATTTCCATGAAAGTAAATTTTTGTAAAGTATTATCCTGAAAAAAACTGAAATTTCAAGTTCACTTTCACCATTTATCACCAATATCGCTGGTAGATTCGCTAGGCTGGAAAATTTCGAATTTCAAGGCCAGTGGAAGTTGGATCTAGTAACCCCCTATACCCCATCACCTCAAGGACCCTGTTTAACTGTACGACTGTTAAACCTGTGAAAAAGTTTCAACATATTTGACAGTATATCTCAAACCTGGCTTGAAAAATCGTAATATTCACCGAAATGTTATCACCAGGAGGTTTATATATCAGTTTTCTTCCGCGTTATATGCGTCTATGTTTGCCTGTCAACATGGTAATTGAAATAGTATCAAACGTGTTACTACGAACACTGTTTGTGGGGTTAATGGGCATTGCCCAAGGATCGGCAAATTGGTTAAATTTAGATTGAAATTTGAAGAGAAATTAGCATGCAAGATTTTAACTTGTTTTCCCGGTCAGGTTGAATTAAATTCGTAATTGGCCCATTTTATGACATTGTAACTTAACTAATTTTCTGGTGAATGAGGTATATGCCTCTAGTACATGAAATTTAAGGATTCATATATATATATATATTTACCTTGACAAGCTGCTATGCAACAAAGCGCAAGCAAAAGTTTCGCCAACATTTTCTCTGACTGCTTGCGTTGATATTTTCTGCTTTAGTTTTTTCGCCCTCTTCGTACAAGTGACTAGCAATGGTATATGACAAACGTACTCATTTTGTTTCATAGACGTCTGTTAGTGACGTCATTACCTAAAGTGATTTGTTAGTATGCATAAAATTTTGTCAAAAGGACTTATTTATAAATCCTAGTCCCTGTTATCTTGCTAACTTGGGCGGACCATTAGGCATTAGAAAAGTGTTGGGGCGGGGGGGGGGGCGGGTAAAAAAATTGCGCAGGAGAAAAAAAAGTCGTACAGTAAGAAATCTTAATTTAAAAAAAAAATGTGCAGAGACTTTTT